TGCTGAACGAACTACTTTATCTTCCAACAGTGACAAGAACATATTAATGAAACATTGAAACTGCTGTTAAATAGCTCAACTCGGAATACAAGCTTTAACTTTCTAGACGTGCTTTTGACCCGGCCATCATGACCCCTCAATTTCTAAGCCTACAACTTTCTATCTGCAATTACACCTCCTTCCTGCTTTCATACAGACTTCAAGAATCTAGGCTAGCAGTCAAAAATCTGGCTTTCAGAGGTATAGGCGTAATTCATTTGAAAACCTGTACATATATTTTAATAGTGATTTGGGGGATTTCTAATGGCTTTCTTAAACAAGCCCCAAGGAAGAAGTTACATAAGTACTAAGCTGTTATATCCAAATTAACTCACATTCCAAGAGATCAGCCAAAGTCTTAGTTCGAAGAGCGACAGGTCTTTTTGTCTTGTCATTAGTGATGGCAAATTCTTGCATACCCAGCTCTTCTGCCACCTTGGCCTGTGTCCTGTTGTTCACCAAAGAACTTCTCAACAACTGCAATAGAAAGAAATTCCACTCAATGGTAACAATTAGCGATACCAAACTATAGAAGGTAGGGAGAGCTGGGGAAAAAAAGTTACTTTTATCCTTGTAGCCTCTCACTTCTCTCAGTTTACTGACATTTTGTTTCAGCACACTCAAATGATTCACATAAACACATGCTCTCATTCTTTCTACTGCTGATTTTTCCTCCTGTTTCAATTCTTCTCACCAAATTTTATTTATTCTATGGACACATTACGCCTGTAGATGTGTCTTGCATTTAAAATGCTTGTTTGTGAGCTTCTTTGCATGCATATACCATCTCTTCATCAGTCCTACACTTTTTCATCTAATCTGCATTTTTCTAGTTTAAGTAATACAGTTACATACATTTTTCCACATAAAGTATAAACATACAATATTCTGGAGTCTATAGAGCAGTCCCCAGTGTCCACCAAATAAGAAATAAATACGCAGTAAGAAAAACAAATGCACAGATGAGGAAGCTGCTCCATTCATTTGGCCAGAGAAGAACATGCATAGCTGGCCAGCCTGTATGTACTCTTTGCTCTACTGAAGGCAGTATAGCTGAGCCGATGCATCCCTGACAAAGATCTGTCTCAAACATTTTCAATGGATGACAATGTCCAGGACACCTGGTTCTCCAGCAGAGTTCCTTGAAGTGCTTAACCTAGGCTCCAGGCAGAATTACTTAAATAAAAATAGAGCTCTGCCAAAGACACAATCTCATACAGCTTAAAGGAGTATTTTGGAATTTTAGGGTTTCATACAGTTTTCTGAACCCCTGGTTAAGGTGAGCTTTTTTCCTGTTTGTTTGCTTTTCTGCTTTAAATGGAACAGCATTAATTTAAGAAATTAGGGATATTATGGGAGGTGGGAGTAGGAGGGAAAGAATGTCTCTCTTTTCCACTGTTTATATGTAATCTACAGTTGAGAAGCTGCATACGCATTTTTTCTCTCTCTTGTCTTCCATGTCACATTTGCTCAGCTTATTAGAACCAAGTTATATGCTACCTGGCTCCAGCATGTCAACTGAGCTTATGAAAATCAAGATTTATTTGCTGCACTTGATACTTCATCTCTGACAACAGATAAATAAAGAACAGTATGTTCATAATTTGTTTGGCAATGATGTATGAAGCAGATACTCACAACTTGATCTTCGTAAACTAGGCAGACTGCAGATAGGATTATTACCTGCCTCCCTAACCTCTGCTTAAACTCGTTTTCTACTTATGCCTTTCCAAAAGTCTTCCCTTTTATGTCCCTGAGATAAACAAGCGATACTTTCCCCAACAAAATCCTAAGTATCATATGCAACCTACAAGACAGAAGTGCAGTATCATGTAACAAAAATCTGTTTCTTGTAATGGGACAAGGAGGATCTCTTTTGCTGTGTTTGCAGAATATTTATTTTGATGGGACCCTTAATCATGATTAGTAGCATCATAAAACAAAGAGCAACATATACACTACACAGTGAATTAGGGATAGGAAAAAAAAAACAAAACAGTTATCCTTCTAGCACTGTGGTTATCAACTTGCTCCGTATTAGAATCTGCCTCCTCTGCAAGTGTGATCTAGCAAGAAACTCAATTCCCCCTAATGATATGGGGAAGATACAGTACCTGTGCCTACCCAGCAAGTTTTTTAGAGCTAGTCTCCACTCTGGCAACACACAGCCTGCATCATTGCAGATGCTGTAACGTGTGACGGATACTCAACTGGAGCTTAAATCTAATTACTAAGCAATTTTTTTTTATTCTTCCATCTTCACACAGCATACTACTATCCATGACTGTTGCATAAGCCAGTACTGGAGAAGCTGTATCTTCCAACAGCCAACAAAATTTCATCCTCTTTTTTGGCAGATCACTTGGCTATCTCAAAATATGTAGATAAGACTACATTCTCCTTTCTTTTTCTTAAATATAGTTAATTTACAGACATCTCTCCACAAGTAATCACTATACACTGGGAAGCCACTGCATTGCCAGTCAACTGGAGTCTTTCCATCCTTGACCAAAATTGTCCTCAACACTACAGACACCATTCAGCTGATGTCCTGTTATTACTTCAAATCTAAGTATGTTCCCAGGTAACAGAAGAAAGATCTCAGTGTTTGCTGTTTCTCTTCAGATCCCACATCATCAGTCTCCTTTCTCACGTCTCATTTCATTTGTTCTCACATTTAAAAATATTCTAAGACAATTTTCTTTTTCACTGCACGTTCATCCCCAGAGTTGAAATTTTATTCTAGGCGTTGCCTACTTCTCCGTATCTTAATGTGTTTTCAGCATCCGTTCCACTCTAACTTTGTAGTTCCCCCTACAAACTTGGACTGTGCAACTTGTTCTACTTGCCAACTCACTAATCATTAAATGAAGCAACACGGAGACGTTCTGATCATTGTTCTGAGTATTTACACCCATTAATAGAAACACTTCATATCCTTCCTGCCAAATAGTTCTTGAAAGATTTATCTTACTGTAACAACACTGATGCCTACATTCTAAAAAGTCACCCACAAAGCAAAAAAAATACCACTAGTCTTGGATTTCTGCCTTATGTTCTTGTTTCTCTGAAGAATTAATATGACAAGGCTCTTCCCCTTTTAACTTTTACTTCAAAAGTTCAGGCTTTGTCCTCTCTGTCTCCTGAATGGTGCAGAAGAATCCATACAGATGTAAATGAAACTTAAGAACTGGTGAAGAAAAATGACAATAACTTTTAGTCAGAGCATGTACTTCTTTTCTTGTAAACATCTTTAGCCCAAAAGACCCAAGCAGCGTATTCTTGAAATCACATTGCCTGCTAGAGACTTAGCATTGCCATCCCTTTATGGATTTCAGAAAACCACTCCAAGTAGCTAAGAAACCTACAGTGCTACTTCGTAATTTTAACTAGAAGACTCGACTCATATTCCTGATACATGTATTGCTTTTTTATTCTAGTCAAGAAAACTAATAAAAATTTAGTAAGCCTAAGAAAATTTCTTCCTCACAAATAAAGCCACAGCTGTCTAGGTGCAGTACTAAATGAATCAATCAGGAAAAAAACTACATATACTACCACTCTGTGTTTAAAGTACTGTAAATTGCTGAAAGATCCCCAAACTGGGTTGTTTAGAGCTCAGATAAAAGAGACTGAAAGGCTACAGTAATCAACAACAGATGACTATAACAATAGTAAAATTAAATTCAAAAGCTACCACAGGAGCTCCAGATTGAAGACAACAGGAAAACCAGACTAAAATAGATTGTAAAAACTTCTTATCAGGAAACATAACCCTGCCCGGTTGCAGGTTCAACAGGCTAGAAGTCATGAATAAAAAAAGTCATGTGATGTGCCTATTTAAATAAATGGTTTAAGATACCCATCTTTAAACAAGAACTAGTCTTATCTCCCAATTTCATCACTGACATCCTTAAAATTATTGATCCATTTCACAGACAGAACAAAAATGATTGCACTGGGCTCATAAATCACCATTTCCTATTCATTGCAGTGCTCATGACTTAAAATTAACAAAGCCTTATTAAGAGCAGTGGTTGCTGAGGCTTCTTTTATTAATCAAATCCAGAATAATTCACTAGCTGCTTCCATAATTTCAGTCTCCATCCCACTCTTGCTCTTCCAGAGAGCATGATTGATGACAGACTCACCGTTAAGTGCCCTTCATGATGATCAGGGAAATGTATGAATAAATACTCTGTGGCTACCAACTGCATTATTGAGTCACCCAGGAATTCCATCCTCTGGTTGTGGCCTCTGAAAAATGAGACATCAATGCAGCAAAATCAATAAGCACTCGGGGAGGAAAAAACAAAACCAGCATGCACACACAAATTAAAATAAAGAGTGATCTGAGAGTAAGCCTCACTCATTTCCAAACGCATTTAAGACAATTTTCCAGCATTAACCAGGTGAGATGAAAACACAGTTCGTTACTGTTGTAACCCCCAACTTTCAGGAAGAAAGCAAATCAGGGTAGCTACATATATACACACTTATTACATCACAGATCTGGGACCAATTGAAGTAGAAAAGCAGTTGATATCAAGTTTGTAACAGGATAAGGTCTGTACCTGTAACTTCTTATAAGAAAGTGAACTAATGACTGCAACAACTTCAATAGAGAAAAAGGTCTGTCCATTCACAAGAAATAAAAGGATCAGGGTTTAAATCCATGCGAGATCCTGGACTGGGTAACCACTGGTATGGCTCTACTGTTTGCTTTAAAACGAGGCCTGGCAGCTCTACACACCACAGAACACAAGGGCTGCACTTGGACCACAGAGCATGATTTTACTTCTTTCCTCTGCCAAATGTACCTCCAAGTATGTTTTGCTACTGTCTCAGGAGTGATATGCAAATATCAATGATGCAGGAAGCTCAGAAGAAACACTGGGATGGCTCACTAACATCATCTATAGTCTTTCCTAAGGTATCCACTACTGACTACTGTCAGAGATGGGATACTGAGCCAGGTGGGCTTGCGAACATAGCTGCTCTATTCTCTTCTGGAGAACAGATATAACATCTAGGGTTTGTTTACAAATAAAGCAATGTGGGATACTAACAGAAGGACCAACAGAGCTACATGAGGACTCTTGCCGTGTACTCACAGAGTCAGATGGTTAAAGCCTACTGTCCTCAGAGTGAATGCACGTGCTAGAAGCCGAACATGAGTAAAGATGACTCCAATTGCATCCTCAAACTCCGTAAGCTTTTGAAGAACTGGAGAGGTCTCAATGAGTTGCCTGTCAGTATTGGACTCTTGCAGCTGTAAATAAAATTAAGTGCAAACAATGACAAACTGACACTGTTTTAGAACTTTTCAGAGAAAAGCAAGCCTTCTGTAAACCAGAAGGGCAAAGAATACAGGGAACAAGTCGTTCCATGGACAGCTGAACTGAGAAAACCCAGTTTCCTCTGGCTTTTTGTCTTGGATAATTACCACTCAAAGAAGATATGAGCTCTGATGTATGCCTTTTTAACAGTTGAGGCATTTATAACACATTGCTTATATGGTCCTAGCTCTACATGTGGATAGCATGGGCTACTTATTTTCAAAAAACATGCATAACTGTACATGTCTCAGTTTTCTAATATTATCACATTGTTTGTAACAGAGCAACAGATTTAAAAAATATTAGAATAGGGCAGGCAGACTGACAGCATGTCAAGACGAGACAAAAACCAAATCTATTTCTCCCACTTTCCTTCAGTATCAAAAATCAAGAATAAATACTTAGTATATAAAATTCAAAAGGCACAATAACACAAGAAAATTAAAATTATCACTTCGTGTCAGCATCTTTTCTTATCAGTTTCTTGTCTGATATCCTTGATGTAGTGACACTGTTAAATGACTTTCTGGAGTCGGGAAATGGCTTAGGCATTTCCTCCAGCCACTCTGGGCATCCCTCTGGTATAGCAATGCCTCAGAGGAGGAATCATCCAGATGAGGATGCCTAAAGGAGAAGTAAGAATAGCCACAGTTTTTTAAAGTGGCATTAAGATCTTTCTTGGTTTGTTGCCTGTCCCTTTTCTATTAACTGACTAAATTCAATTTGACTTTTTTCCTTAAATACAACTGAGCTTTCAGCTGACATTTTCATATACCTACATATCCCAGCACCAAAATCCCATGCTTGGATGATAATGGTCAGTGTGGAGTTCAGTTGCATGTGGAGCTGAGACTGCTTTTTGCTTCCTCATGCACAGTCCTTTATATTTACCTACACAGAATTTCATCTGCTTTTTTACTCCATAGTTAGTCACTCTTGCATTCTCACAATCAGACTGCAATTCTTCACTCTGCTGTTGTCCCTGCTACCCTGAATAATTTTGTATTGTTAACAAATTGCCACCTCACTGCTCATCCTCTTCCCTAAGCTGTTGATATGAACAGCCTGTTCTTCAGCAAAGATCCCTAGGGAAATCTGCCAGTGATCTCCGTCCCTCGTAAGATTTGGTCATTTCACTCCTGTTCTCCATTTCTTATGCTTCAGCCATTCCTTTAAATCTTTTAAGGACTGACAGTATTCACTGGGGTTGCTTTTTTTTTCCCTTTCTTTCTTTTGTTTTTTTAAACACATTTTAAAAGCCTTTAATGAGTTCTTTTCCAACAGACTTTTAGGAAACCCAGCAGACAGTATCATCTGCATCATCACATGCTTTGTTCTCTCCTCTAAAACCTCCTATTCATTTGTGAGGCAGGACTTGCCTTTACATGTTGACTCTTTCCAAAGAGACCACATTTATCCAGGTGACCACTAATTTTTTTTTTTTCATCACTATTTCTACTGACTGGACTACTGCCAAATAACAGGGTTACAGGCCTTCAGTTCTGTGTATCTGTTTTTTTTTTTTTTCCCCGGGGTTTTTTTTTTTTTTTTTTTTTTAGATTGGCATCTTATTTGCCATATTGTTACAGTGACTTTTAATAATTTTTAAAATGCCATTTTTCAGGCTAGCTGTGCCCAAAGGCCTACCTGAGCAGCCTGTGTTTCCTCTACTGGTAAGCAGAGAGCTAGGATGGCTTCTGGGACATGGAAGAAAATAAACTTTCAGCACACAAGTTAAGGTAGTCGCAAGAAATGATAAGTTGCATATACTGGCTGTCTCCAATCTCTAAGCAGAGTCCAAGTCTTCTTTGTGAAAGCAGAGATAAAGAGGTTAAAATAAAATAAAGTACGAGAAAAGAAAGAAATCTGGGCTAAGAATTTTCTTGGGAGTTTGTGCCACCATGCAGGATAGCTAGTGCTGAATCTCCAAAGTTTATCTCCCCATTGAGACTCTTCTGTTTCCACTCACAGAGAGTTGGTCATAAAAAATGTTTCAGGTGCACTATTTGTTGCTGAAGATTTTGTCTACGTACCCATTGCAAAATACATACAAATATGAGACATTTCAAATGAATGCCTCAAAGTGACCTTCTGCTGGAAGGGTGTGCTCATAAATAGTTTCAAAGGAGTCAAACCGACTGCACAAAACATCAGAGATTTCGTTGGACAAAAGCAACCTCTCAGATGTTCATATGATCCTAAACACCTTACTCACTGACTGGATGACAATTTGAATAGAGCTATTCTTGCAGCACCCCTGCACACTCGGAAAATGCTACTACGTTTGCTGTGAAGACAAGGAGCTACAGTGCAGAGAGGCTCTGTGACTTGCTCTAGGTCTCCCCCAGAATTCAGTCAGGGAACAAGGACTAGGGAACCATTCTCCCAAATTCCAGCCTTGTAAACAACTTGTGAGCTTGTATCCTCCAATACATGGAGAATAAATTAGCCTTCAGATAATTTCAGTATTCACTTGGTATTAGAGCTACTGGAATCACCAAAACCACCATGCTATCATTGCACACACACGCATAAAAAAAAAAAAAAAAATCAGAATCACACTCTTATTCCATTCAACTAATGTGCCTTCCTACTATTAAGGTTTCGGTCTTAATTTCAGGTTAACAAAATACGTACATTGGTTTTGTACCCTTTTTCCCCCAACTTCAAGAAGATGAACAAGAAGCCACCAAAATGTTACCTCTCACTAGATTTATCATATGAGAAGCACAGTTATGTATCAAACATGAGCCAAGGAAAGGTGTATGATTAATCCTCAGAGAGGCAGAGACTCATTATTTATAAAAAAAAAAAAAACCAACAACTAAAACCAAACACAAAGGCAAATATATACACTCCTTTGGCTACTTTTTGGCACAATTTCTGAGGTGTCATTACGATAGAAACCTATGGAAAAGCATTCCTGAAAATAAAACAGAGCTATGAAATTTATTACAGAAAGGGATATACTTACTTGGAGTGGATGTAGTGGATAATTAAGCCATACATCCCGCAGGTCCTGCAAACATTGAGAGATGCCTTTAATGCTCAAGGGAATCATTTAACAAATTCCACAGTACTAAATAAAATGTCATTACTTGAAATACTGAACTATTTCAGATGCTGGCTCTGCTTATTGCAAATTCAATAGTGCTGGCAAACTAATTTTTAAAATCGTGTATTTGCTGTTCAAACTGCCTGTAGTTCTCCCAATTAGCTTGTGTCAAAGAGGTGGAAAAATCCTTGAACCAAATAAAAAGTGCTCAAAGGAAGAAAAAGATTTGTTTAAGCCTCAGGACTAACTTTATTTGCAAGTACTCCTCAGTAGCAAGTTTGACTTCACCAAAGGCAAGGACTAAAAAAGAAAAAAAACCATTTATTTTCTTCTATTTCACATAGGCTTCCTTCACTACAGGCACTGAGCAGCAAAAGAACCACTGAATTACGATAGGCGTCAAAATACTTTTATTTCTAATAAGCTTTGTCATTTCACAGACTCGGAGACTTTCAAGAAGGAAAGACTGTATAATTCAGCCCCTCACCACTGCCACATGTATTGTCCCAGCAGTATGTACTGGTTACTTTCCTTAGCCATTATATGGGATAAATTCCAACCAACAGTGATCTAAGATACAGTGTGCAAGAATAGATCAGACTTTAATTATGCAATTGGGCAAACGCTGGATGAAACCCCCTGTATTTTTTTCAAAGATATGTTTAAAACTTTTAGGGGTGGGAGGATTTAACTGAATAAACAGGAATAGTCACTCTACATGTGCATCATTTCCCCAAAGCACGCTGCCTGGTTCCACAGCACCCACCTCTGTTGTTAGAGCAGCACTTTGAATAGAAGTCTGCAGGTTTCCCACACCACCCACCCTTCCCTAAGCCAACCAACAAACAGCACACCTGAGGAAACGCCGTAATTTTTTTGCCTGAACGAGTGCAGCTTGCTGTCCTAAACACACTATGCTACATTCAGTTTCCAGGAACAAAGTATTACAGGTGTATTCCTGTTCATTTGTGATTCTCAAATAAAACAATGGACAAGAAAGCATGTCTTCAGTTATTTTTAAAACAGAAATCAAATCATATAAATACATAAATACCTTGTCATTGAAGAGTAAACGTCCAAATAATTGTTTTGCTTCTTCTAGGCTCCCCTCGAGATAAACGGCTCCTGCATAAGGGGACCAGTACATCAAAGGTCAATAATGCATTAGTACTTAGAAAATTACTAAGCACAGGAAAGTCAAAGATCTCTGCCTTCTTCATCTCCAATACATTTTTTGAAAGCATGCTTTCTGTAGTAAATCCTATTTTTTTGAGAAATTTAAAGCATGTAAAACACCAATATAAATCAATGGTCATAAAATGCACAGAAAAACCTGAAATAGTTAAATCAGTGATAGAAAATTATACATCCAAAGAGCAAAGTTTAAACAAATTAGGCTAGAAACAATTTATTTCTAAACATAGTTTCCAGTAATCAGCTAACTATACCATATATGTAGACAGTGAAAGCCATGAAATACATTTCAATAGCTAGCAAATAATTTTCATTTATTTTGTACTTTCAACAACATTACATTCAGCAATATAAATGATGCGTCAGGGCTATTCCAAACCTCAATGCCTCCCCACTATCACCCCAATACATTGTCTGAACTGGAAACTGCACCTCTGCATCTCTCAATTTCTGGAGATTATGGTACTTTGTTTTGGGTTGTTTTTTGGTTTTGTTGTTTTGTTTTTTTTTTTTTAAACTGCATATACAGCCCTCTCTAGCCCTCCACACGCCCATTAGTAACAAGCTCTGCAAAATTTGTGCTACTATATTATATTTTTTGTGTGTACCATACACACTCTATCTGCACAGGCACTATAAATTCAGTATCAATATTTTGTCTTTTGGTACTCTTCACAGGAGGGCTTCTGAAAACCTCAAACTAGTTCTTGTAAGCACATCTTTATAAAAACAAAGGGAATACAGAGCTACATGAAGAACACAGAGAAAGGGAGTCGATGTTCCCACATACAGGGAGAACATGGTTTGTCTTGCTGTGTCTTTCCACCCATCTTTCCTTTTAATTCCTCACGAGGTCAACTACTTTCTTTGGACTCTTTGGAGAATAGTTTGGGGATAAGACTACCTTGCCAGAGGCATATTATGAGAGCACAGAATTTCAAACAGGCCCTAGGCAGCCTGCTTATACTTTTGGTTATTATTTTCATCACAGGGAATAAGCACCAGACTTTTACAAAGGTTCTCAAGTAGGAGCTCCAGACCCCACATATACTTTTGCAGTCCCTTAACAAGCTCCCAGATTTTAGCTATGGCCCTGACAAAATCTTATTGCTCAATTAACTTTGCGAACAACTTTGTATTGGAGGTTAAACAGCAAGCCTGCTCTCTTAGCAAATCTCAATGCTTGCCAAATAGTCCTCATCATTACATCCTAGACAAACTGAAGTATATGAACAAAGCCACAGATACAAATCTTGTGTTCCTTTTCTGTTTGTTTTTTATTTTTAAATTAAAGATCAAAGCACTCTCGGAAAGCAAAATAGAGTTAAAAAGAAAACTCTTATTTCTTGATAAGATGAAATGCAATATGGCCCAAGGCAGAATGCACAGGACTGTTGACATCTAAGCCAACAATGATCTATTTTTCAAAGCAGGACAAAATGCTTTAGGAGCTTGTGTAGTATGTAAAGACTTGGATCAGGGCTAAACCATTCCCATAGCTAATATCATGTACAGTACATTTGGATGAATATGAAGCCCAATCAGTGAGATTTAACTTGCTTTGTGTATTCAAACAAGTAATGTTTTATAAAAACACGCTACTTAAAATAGAGCTTGTGTGGATAAGTAGATCAGATTTCCACCTTACTGCTTGCTTATTTGGTAACTATGGTCAGGCCGTCCTGATTTCTTCTTCAACATAAATTTATCAACTAGCGCAGCCAGTCACTCATCAGCATCTTAGTGCCCAACAGCAAATTTGACACAACTCCCCTTCATCCTCAGCTAGGGGGTTTTGGTAGCTTTATTACACCAGCCATGGCATATTGCCATGCTTTTTATTTGTAAGGAAAATGCAGAGACCAAAAAATATTTACTGGCAAATGTCACATTTAATTCACAGGAGAAGGTTAGCAGGGCACAGAGGAAGCGGGCTGGTGACTTGGTTGGGAGTGCCTGGTGCATTCAGAAAGCAAGCTGCAGAGTTTAAAATTCAGGGCTGAAGTGCAACTCCACGTTTTGCAGGTCTCTGCAAGTACTATACGAAGCAGTGAACCTGCACTTTTCCTGCCAGGCCACGGTGACTGAACTACTCCCCCCAGACAGGGGGGCAGGCCATGGTGGCACACGAGAGGTGGAGTTCTGCGGTGACGGACAGAAGCACTGCACCCCAACGGTATGAAATGAGTGCATCTTCAGTGCGTGGGAGGCAGGATACAGAAGATGACATTTTCACCGTAATACTGCACGCTCATCATGTTATACACACGGCATATGTGCAGGAGATGGGAAGAGACGAAGAAGATTTAAGAAGCTTTACTATCACCTGCCCTTACTAACACTACTCAACACAGGCCCATGTCTCCTCCATCGCAGTCAACATGGCATGTAGACATATTAAAACATAACTGTCTGCACACAAAAGTACACATGCTTTACCTATTAGGGCTTCAAAGCAGTTGGCCATGGCATGGCGGAGATCCGATTCCCTGCAAAGGTCTGGACCATGAGCATAAAGCATAAATCGATCTAGTTCCAGCTTCTGCAGAATATGTGGAAAGAGTTAAAACCGTGGCTTTAGAAGTACAAGAGTACCAGTTCCAGTCACTAGAGTACATCTACACTATTATGCAGCAACTGGGTTTAAGGGAACTTTAAAGCTTTTCTCCATAGTTTCAGTTCAGACATAGGCTAAAATTAGAAGACTTCATATTTGTTTATCAGAGGCAAGCAGCTAGAGTGTGATAGCGTGGGAAAGCTAGGAATTATCAAACCAAATTGTCAAGGGAAGCCAGATCAAAACATGTTACTAGTGAGATTTAGGAATGAGTTCAAGAGGTGGGCTGAGGGTGTGACAGAAAAACAGCCTGATACCGGCTGGATGGTGCAATGTGCTGTGTTTCTTGCTGGTAGTTTGCCTTCGTGTGATTTGCCTTCAGAAATGCCAAGGGGACATTCAAAGGTTAAGGAGTAACACTGAGGAAAAAGATTTTGCCTACAAGAAGATAAAGTACAACAGTGAGGAACAGGAACTCTGGTAGACGCAATCCAGTGAACATCTGACTTTTTTCTTTAAGAGTGTCAACAGGTGGCAGTAACAAAAGCTTCTGGGCACTGCAAGCAGAAGACTGATATTTTAATCCACAGTGCCACCTATCTTTCTTTTTCTTTTCAGATGTGCATCGATATTCATCTGTTGCCTAAACCATAGTTCTGCTTGGCAGTCAGAATCTCAGGTAGCAAGTCAGATATCTTATAAAATATATGATAATTCTGCTATAGAAATGCAGGCAAGAGCTACTAGGTTCTCTTTACATATTCATCTTTTTGACACAAAACCATTATTGAGATTTTTAAAGAGATTTGTGCATCTTGCAAAGTCTGTATGAGAATAAGTTCTTCCCAACTGGGTGTAAGTTTCTACTGACTAATTTCTCTTTAACTTTCAACTTCTTCCTCCTAGAGTAAATTTAAGATGTAAACGTGGAGACTAAGTTGCTTGAGGTACGTGGTTTAGACACATTTCAATTGGAAAACAGGAGTCTTCCATTTTCAATGAATGAGAGCCTATTCGCTGCTCTAGAACCCAAGGAATTACCACTTACTATGTTCCACCGCACTTTCTAATGTGCGGGGAGTGCTCGTTAGAGTCAACATAAAAGTGGAACATTAATTGTTTTATATCAAATGTAAACTTCTTGCAGACTATTGTCATTTGTTCATGTTAACTGGTGGTGTTTGGGCGTTGGCCTCTGTCCCCTCTCTTATCTCCATTTTCGGAGCTTGCATTCAACATATTTTGCATGTGTTTTGCTTCTCAATTTTGATCATGACACATTTCAGATTATTTTTAAAATTCCTGCTACGATGACCCTTAGAAGCTACAGAAATTTATCATTTGATCCTCAATTAAAACTGCATTCCACAAGCACAAGAGAAATTGAGCTGAGAATTATCCTGAGGAAGTAAAGTGAATGCAATCCCACTGACACTGCAGGGGATAATTAAAAGGAATGAAACCAGGAAGGTCATATAGGATATACAAGAGGAAAAAAGGGCAAGTTGGGAAAACAGGAATGTATAGATATCTAATATTTACAGTTGTATCTAATAAAAATAAATACAGTTTAAAAAATTTTGCAATAAAAATTTTCAAAAGTTGTCCATGTACAATGATAAAGGCTGTGAACAGAGCTTTAAGAATATATGAGCTTTCCTGATGCAGGTTTTAAAATAATAACATGAATTCAAATGTCAGGCAGTTCAATACCATATTTGTAAGCAAAACCCTGACTTGAAACATTTCAATCAATTCATGCTCATCTAAATCATTAAAGCTCTGGAGGAAAAAGATTGTGTTCACTCAATACCCTTTGCCTCTCCTGAGAACTGAGCAAAAAGATGACATGTTAGAAATCATGCAGTTTTTGCCAAAATCTCAAGATTGGTTACGCTTGTTTAAATTACTGCGTGAATATGAACAGAGAAGATTAAAAGAGCACTTGAGAACTATCAGCAATACACAGTGGACGTGTGGGCACACGCATGCATGCACAGCTTCATACGTTACATCAGTAAGTCTCAGACTGTTTTTTAAAAAACATGCTAACAAAATAAAATCTGACTAAGGGAATATCAAATTATCTATGAATAGAGACTTAATCAACTTTCTATATCATATTCCTGACCCCCAGTATCACATAGAAATCTAAAAAGCTCTTGTAATTCACAGAATTAAATGAAATGAAATTCAGAGGCACCTCAATTTTTCCCATGAGGTAATACAACTTTTCACCAAAAGCCTTTTTAACATATGTCTCTTCCACAGTTCACAGCAAATCTCAAAATGACTGTGTAGGTTAGTGAGCAGACAAAATCATTTTTTCACCACTTTCTCTACCTGCTGCCATGTTCTCTCTACATATTCTATCAGGAAGTCCTTTTATAAACAACCAGCTTGTTTCTTTTTCTTCACTAAATTTCTACTATCAGCTTCATTACCTGTGCAATTTAAAGGTAAATATAGACACACCTTCAACACAGGCATCTTAAAAACTTAATTCTTCTGCCTGCAAAAATTACTCCTCCTAAAAATATGCTTTAGAGAAAACACTAGGTCCTACTTCATCTTTAAAATCTACTTTCAAACTGAAGAGTTCCTGTATGCCAAATGTTGTACACAAAACACAGTAAAGACACTGACGTTCAAAGCAGGCAGATCCCTCACGAGGCAATCCACGCACTAATAGTATCCTACCTACGGGTGTCAAATACAGAGACGTATAAAACTGTACCTTAGCCAACATGGCCAGGTGTTGGTTCTGTACGATGGCAGTGCGGTATGTAGCTAATCCTCCTTCTTCCAGAGTGGGAAACAGGTAGTACAAGTGGACACTGGAAAAACAAAAATCAAATCAGATGCTGTCAGCATTTGGCTAAAGATGAACCACCTGTGCCTCTAGGGAACAGTGCCTGTTTCTCAGATCCTAGCTGGTAACACAGGTCCCTTCCCAAGTCAGCAACTCAGCTTGAAGTAAGGTAAAGAAACAAACATTAAAACAATGCTCAACAATATTCGACTGGACAGCATTGGCAGCAGGGGAGGAAGAGTGCTGTTTCTCTACTGGGCAGCACATAATCTCTAATTCCCAGCAAGGACATGCACTTCCCTCAACTGAAGGTTTCCATCTATCAGTAGCAGTGGATTCAGCAAGGTTGATACCTAGAGGATGCTGAGGAATAAAGCACAAGGGAACTGTCAGCCAGCCTTGAGAAACTCCATGCTGCAGGTATGCAGGGCTTTAAGATAATACTAGTGATTCAGGCTGGACCACCACTCAGGATATTTGTTTTACAAGGTTCTTACAGTCCTTTAACAGATGCTAATGGAGCCAAAGAACAGAACTCAACAGTCTGTATTTATCAAATGTGTGAAGTCATTAATATCACAGAAAAAAAATGAGTAAAAATGACAGGCTTTCAACTGCTTTTAATGATATTTGTCATCATGCAAGTAAGATACTTCATAGAACAGAAACAAAACTTAGAAGTAATTCAGTGATCCAACCAAGATCTGAGTAACAGATAAAAGGTTCTGAATATCTTCATATATGACTATCTAACCATGTCAGAAAGAAGTTAATACAGAGAGGGTTTTCAACATCCCACAAGACAGTGGATGGCACTAATTATTAAAATATTTTATTAACCCAATACACAGGGAGAAAAGTGCAGATGGATGCAAGACTATTTAAGGACAAAAATTACTATTAAACTTAGAGGCAACCTAATCAAGCATCATAATTCACAAAAGCAGAGACCTGAAGTAAAGGGTTAGGAAAAAAAAAAATCAGACTTAAATAGGTGCTTACATGCTCTACTGAAGAGAAATGTAGCTCAGTTTTTTTCTGAATTGAGAGAGAAGTTAGCTCAGAAAGTCAACTGATGGTTGATGAACAATGACAATGAAAAATGCAAGACATTTTAATCAGCAAGTCTTCCATCTTATCAGCCTGTACTGCTGTATAAGAGAAAAGGCCATGGGTTTTAAGGGCAGTGGAGACCTTTATAGACTAATAGCGTTTAATACTGAGTAGCTAATGGCTAGTAGAGGTTAGTAGAGAATGGAGATACAAAGGCAGTTTTGTTATTCATACAACAAACTTGCTTCAAGAGAAGCTTTAGAGTAAACAAGACTACTCCCCTATTAAAAAGAGTAGAACAAAGCAGCTGAAAATGGATTATAATCTTTATTTTGTGCAAACTGCTTGCCACTAGTGCTCAGATAAGAGAGGCCAACGGAGGTAATTGATGACATCCCTGTACTGTTCACTGATTTCAGAATACTCAGACCAAAAGTGGGACATTTTTGATGAACCATGTTTTTTTGTTATTACTTCTAAATAAATTACATTTGTGCTCAACTATTTTATTTACATACAGACATTATGCAAGCTACAGCCCTAATAACTAGAAATATAAGAACTGCAATGCATTCAATATTACCAATAAATGCTTTTCACTTGCAACTAGAGAAAAAGAACCCATGGAAACAACATGGCATGCTAAGAAAAATATCCTGCCTTTAAAAAAAGGGTACAAAGTTCAACTTGTCTGTAGCTGAATAACCTCTACCCCCAACCAACTTAAAATTACACTCCATGAAACAGAAACTCTAGTTTTTCATTTTGTAATCTTCGTTGTTGTATCATCAGCACTGAAGGAATTTTCAAGAGAGCTGTGTGCAGATGTGCAGCTCTAAATACCAGGCAGGACTGCAAACATACACAGTCATAAAGTAAACACTGCAAAGCTTAATAAGCCCAGTGGTATGACAATAACATACAAAGGTGAGGACTGTTGAAGAATTCCCCATTTACCTTGTTAAGAACTCCACCACAGCATCTCCCAGAAATTCTAAACGCTCATTGTGGTTAATCCTGAAAAAGGCAATTTAAGGTTTACTATCAGCTAAGTAACACATGCTGGTTATTTACACAATACAATTAAAATAGAACAAATCAGAGTTGATTGCTAATCAGCCATGATAGACATCCTTGCAGCCTCCCCCACCCTCTCTGGGTTACAATCCTTTCCAAAACAGAATAACAGCTACATGAATCTTGAAACTCAGGACTGACACCACTGCCTTTGAAATTTTCCTATGTTCCATTCTGAGATATTGTCAGAGCTTAACAAATGGAGAAAGGAGACAGTACCATTGATTGGCACTGAGGTCAGGTTTCTTTGTCCATCAGAGGGCACCAGCTGACTGAAACAAACGGCCTGTCTTCAGTCTTGTGCATGCAACTAGGGAAGTGTACGTAATTAACATCAACACCTGCAGGGTGTGATGACTGCAACAGATTCGTTGGTACGGCAGAGCTACATGGGAGCAAGTACTTCCATTTTTCATAGCACCTTTAAATGCCCTGTTTTCTGTAACTTCCTTTGAGCTTGAAAGAAAAAATGGCTGTACAAGAAGATGCATTCAAAGATGCCATTAAGCTAGTAGGATCTTATATTTCCTGTGTTTTCCTTTTCTTCTATCACTGCTCCTGATCTTCCTGTTTTGCATAAAGTTTTATTTCCTCCAAGCTCTCTGCCTGCTTATGTAACAAAGGACTAACAGGACACAGCAGCTGAAAAAGAACAGGAGTTTGTCTTCAAATATAGACAAATTTTTGCTCTACACATCAAAGCATATATGTAGCATCATTTTGACTTTACACAATTGTAATAGAATCAAGGCCATTGCAACAGGATTTTTTTTTTTAATCCAGAAGATCCTTCTCAAGTGTCTGACAGCTTTTATTGTAATTTGCACTCCCCCAACAATTATATAGTTAGTCTAATTTCTGAAATAGCAGGCCTTTGTTATGGGCTGAAAGAATTCAAGTACCTCTGCTGTGTAAAACAATAAAGAGTGAGCAAAACTACAACTCCTTTGTGTAGCAACATAGCGGAAAACACTCAGAAGTGGGATTTTATATTTGTGTGTTATTTTGTGAGAATTAACGCAATTTAGCCTTATCTCATGTTATCTTAAGAGGGCTGAAATAAGATTGAGGCTGACTGTCAAAGAAAAGGGCATGGTCTAGCTGAAACAGCATTTGGGAAACACTGCAACAATAATGTATTCAGAATTCAACTTCTCCCATTCCTGAGCTTCCTCCAAAATGATGACTCTTAAGAGGCCCAGTTATAGCACTAGTTAACTAAAATACACTCTGCCCTCTAGTTAATGCATTTAGGAGATTTCACATGTAACTGTTTCTTGCATTAGCCCTATGAGCTTTCTTTATTCACTTTGGCTAAATATGGTGCCTGTGTCTATAAACCATATCTTAAACATTATTTATTTGCACAGAATTCTTAGTGGTTATTTAAGGATTATTACATTACAACATTAATTGTTTTTGCATACGTCTTTAAATTAGACCAGTAAATCAGCGAAGCCCACGTTCAGTATCACACTCATGTTAACAAGGTGCCATGCCAGGAAGGTACTACTGTAAGGAAATGTGATGGAGAATCCAATTTATAGCAATGATAACAATAACAACAAATCTTATCTTTCAGTCTGCAAAAAGCAAAAAGGTAGCCTTTTAGTCCTCCCTCATTTCAAGGATAAACAAAAATGATAGAGTTATCTGTTAAAACCTTCCTCAGGAGTTTTCTGCAGACATGACCAAACATTTACTATGTCACTGCTAATGGAGGTTCAGCACATTTTCAGGATATAAAAGTCAATTCAAAATGACTCTTCATTTCAACTATTTGCCAAAGCTGTTGCTGACAGTAAGTTGGTTGTTTCTATTAAACATCTCCCTCTGCAACAGCTTCCCTACTTGCAAACAATTATTTTCATTACCTGGAAGGAGCTGGATCATCCTGTCCCAAACGGGACATAATATTTATCAGGGTGTTTATCCCTAGAAATATAAACAATGCACTATTAAATAAGCAACCACTAATTCAATTTTAATAGGCTTAGAAAATAATTACTCAAAATGTTACTTTGTAATTGATGTACACCAGATCATCCTGTTATTTACAGGGTTTACTTACAGCAAGTATAATCCTTACAGATGCTCCCTGCCTAACTGACCCCAGTCCCATTACAACACTGTTGCATTTTTGCATTCAGCCAGATAAAAATACCACCTTTGCATGAAAAAGACATTCCAAACATTATAGAAAAAATAAACAATTTCCTTCATTACAGCTGAATATACTTTTAAGGGGTGAGGAATATTCTGCAGCAGACAGACCACATATTTTCACATTAATAAGACATTTTTACAAAATATTCTCCAGCTTGCTCACCATGTTAAGCAGCAAATGAAGAAAACAATACTTGCCAAAAAAATCAAAGAAAATACATCGTCCCATTTATTATCCTTGCTGTTTCTCGGCTCTTTACTTGTTGACTAATTTGCAAAATCCAGCCTTTTAGAAAGATCCCATTGGTGTCAGCATATAACCATTGAAATCCTCCACTGAAGGTTTCTCTCAGGAGAAAAATGGCCAACAAAATAATAATGGACAAAAGGTTTACTTACTGATTAAGTGTGAGGTGAGAGAAAAATGGTATGGTGTAAAAGCATACCTTTTTTTCTCATGTGCATATGGTGAACTTTTCTATCTCCATACTTCGGCTGTCGAATCCCACAGTTGGATAAGGAATTTCTGGCATGATCAGGATTCATTCCAAAGTTTAAGTGATGGCTTGGATGAGTCATGGCAAGCTGTAATGTAGCACATACAGGAAAAAAAGTCTTAGATGTATTTTTGCAAATATAAGAAAAAAAAAAAACTCAGAACTGGTAGCTAATAATTGTTATTTTTTACTTTGAAGAAAGGCTAGAAAGTGATGTCGTCAATTAGCAGCTTGGTTCCACCAACAGTGCATCCTGTATTTGTAGGATGTACTATTTCAGATGTCAGAAAGAAGCAACATTTATGCCCAATCATCAGTTTAACTAATTAACTTTCAACAGTTTTTTTTCTTTAAAGAAAAATTAGTTTAGAAGAACTGTCAATTTGCCCTAAGGGTTTTGCTTACCAGCTTTGCTGACCTGATTTCAATACATTTGCTTATTTAAACATATATTCACTCTAACATTGCAGCGTAAGTATTCATATTAAAAATATGAACAATTAAAAGAACTTCTCAAACATTCACATATTTGATTTAGGTTATTTAAATATCTATAAAACTTTCCTACTTCAAAAAAAACCAAACAGTAACAAACAAGTATATAATCTCTGGGATGGTTATTCACAGAACTTCTCATGACTATACAGGGCCACTCTTCAATTGGAAGCGAACAGCAATGGCAGGATTGGTCTTCTGTTTTACATTTGTACCATCTAGCATTATCAAAAGCTTACTCTGCTGCTGACACCACCGCTACAAAGATGGCCACAGTAAATAGAACTACAGCTGGCTTTTATGACTCCATCCTCACACTCACACATTTTCTCTTTCTTTACACATACACACCTAAAAATATTATGCGTGTATAAATGTATGTGTACATACGCCTTGTATATAAAACAAGAGATACATTGGCAAATTCAAGCTGCAGAAAGTTAATTCTGAAACACTTGCAAGACTGGTGTGCAGGCTGTGAGCAAAGACATTCCAGTAGTACATTCAAACACTGTCTATGGCTTTCCAAACACAAGACTTAGAGAAATTTATTTTAATTATTTTAGAGAGTAAAATTACATTTAATCAACAATAAGAACTTTCTCCAAGTCCTTTTTAATGCCTCGCTAATATTAAGAAGTTTGTCATAATTGCACATTCTTAACTTCTGCTCCATCTGAACTGGATGACACATTACAACTTCTCTAAATAGTTAAATTAGTGTAATCTTTCTTGCCCAGTCTGTATTTTAAAAAGAATACATCATAATGAAACAGGTAAAAAAAAAAATCAGTGCAAAATTATACATCTAATATTGCCTATGCTTAATTAGGTGACTGGTGCTGCATACATTTTTAGAAAGCTCTTTCTCTTCTGGAACAAGCTTGTAGGTTTTAAATAAATTTGCATAGGGATCAAGCATTAAAAAGTAATTTTGTTATAACTAAACATTAATTTGACTAATGCTGATGCACTTGATTTTCTCCTTTCTCCCCTTTCGATTGCAATTTGCTTTTTAGTTTGTGTGTTTGGTCTCAACATTTTGAGGATTTCCATAATTGCATTTTTATCTTTCATACTAAAACTTTAGGCAGCCTGCGAACAACCAAATCCTACAAGATTCTCAATGTTTAATGTAACTTTCAGTAGGACAAGCCCTGGAAACCAAATTCTAGAAAACAGAGACGCTACGAGAAAAGATTTCTCTGTGAGCCTCTGTTTAAAGTAGTTTTGGAGTAAAGTCTCCATACACATACAGAAACTCCATGTTTTGAACGTAGAGAAAATTCACCTTTCTCAGCCCCAGTCAGTGGAGAGAAAGGATGTTAATTTCAGGGGGAAATCCTGAACAGGAGTCTCCATTTCCCTCTAGTAACTTCAGAAAAAACGTAAGAAAGGGGACAGCACACCAAGAGTCAGCCTTCTGGAGCTGATCAATTCCAAATACGCACTTACATAAATGACTGGTCATGCAACATGGATGCATTTAAAACAAATAAGAAATTGTCCTCTCCTGTTCCTGCCCTTGTTCGTAAATGCAAAAATTTCATCATGTACTTGTAGAAATCAAGAGCTGAACAGAAGTTTGCAAATTCCTTTTCACTAGCTATAAATGCAAAATAAAAAGGCAACACTGAAGTTATTCTTTTTTGGAACAACAGACTATAAAAGGAAGAAGCAAGGCATGTACGCTCATCTGCAGAATAACATCGTATTCTTCACAAATATCTAAAAAAAAAAATAAGAACTTACACAGAAATAATGAGTAATGTACCTGACAGTCTTTTCAGTAAGCATATTTTTGTCTTTCTACACATTACAAGCAAATCCAGACCTATCACTGGAGCAAAGGTAAGTGTATGCCTACATGCACAATAGATGCCTCTATTTAGAAATCTCTTGGGATAACTGAAACTTTTGAAAGCTCTGCAGTGCAAGTAATCAAGGATGTCCAAGCTGTGGCAACGCATTGCATTTCTCAAGTTTGTACAGCAGGCAGGATTATGGATAAACTCAATAATATTAGGACGACAAATGAGCAAGTAGTTTATATTTTTCATATCTTACCTGCAGCAAGCACCTATCTCGAAAAGTGTAGCCTATCAATTTGTCCAAATGCATCAGACACTGATGGTAGCGCACATGGTGGGTGAGGACAGGAAGCATCATTGCGTGCTGAAAAACAATTGCAATAAGGAAAAGCATTCAACTTCAGCATACAGAGTACTCAGCTGACTAAGCTATAAATACAAACACTTTCCATTTGTCACAACATTGAGTTTTACTGTTTTGGTTTAAATGAGAAGAAAAACCCACCATGGTTTCCCAACCTTTATCATCAGAGTGCTTAATTAAATCAGATTTGTCCATCTGCATAATCACGGCTGGGACACAGCCCCACCCAGACTAAATAAATAAATATATAAAACCAGTCTTCTACTTAAGTAATTTGAAAGAGGTAAAAAAATGTCTGGTCACCAGTAACATCAAATTTCAATGAGCTGTGACTGAATACAACGCTGTATGTTTGTACCTTCTCATTTAACGCCCTGCAGTTTTAGGTTAGTACCAAAGATGAAGAAAGACCATTTCCCCTCTGCCTCATAACATTAGAGAAGAAGTACTTTATACCACTTTAACCAGCTTTCACCAAACAACAGTAGCTACTTGCTTTTCAGGCACAGTTATTAGTGTCTTGCTTCATTTCCTTCTGAGGAAGAATTAAGAGCTTTTTGAAATGCTGTAGTCTGGCATTTCCTGGCTTAGTGCGCTAAAAAATATCAGAAAGTTTGCCATTTGATCATCTAGGAAACAGATAATGTTTTTCTGTTGGGGAAAATTTCAATACAAATTTAACTATGTTGCGACAATGAAAGTCTCCCTCTTTCAGTGTTGTAAAGCAGGAATTCTACAGTAATATTGACTTCGGATGGATCTGGGTTGAAATAAGCAAGTAGTACAGTTTATCAGTACTGCGGTACAGCAAGTATGATATCAACATCAAAATTCTTGCATGACAGTGAAAAGTAAGAGCTACAGGAGAAATGTCAGTATTTAAAGAATTTTACACGTGACCATTTTTGTGACACATTAAATTTCAGTTCTTCTAATCATTCCTATTAGTGACATGATATGAATATATTCAAAAGAATGACGTGTTTTAAGGGAATCAAAATCTGAGCGCTAACACTATTAATCTCAGAAAGAGGAACGTGTATGATTACAGAAGATGAGCGTATAATGTGGAGAGATGCAAGAAAAATAAGCATACAAAGCAGATGATGTATAATTTACAGAATAAATGATGTTATGGGTTTCTGCATGTTATTGAAGAAAGAACAGCAGAAAATACAAACTGGTGAATGTTACAAGATTGAGAAGTTCAGAATAACCAATGGCAATGCTTTCTGTTTAATGAAAAGACCGCGAAATTCTTGAAAAACGAACACAGCGGGAAGGCAATCATAGAATCATTTAGGTTGGAAAAGACCCTTAAGATTATCGAGTCCAACCGTTAACCTAACACTGCCAACTCCACCACTAAACCTATCCCCTATATCCCTAAGTGCCACGTCTACCTGTCTTTTAAATACCTCCAGGGATGGGGAGCGAACCACTTCCCTGGGCAGCCTGATCCAGTGCCTGAGTACCCTTTTGGTGAAGAAGTTTTTCCTAATATCCAATCTAAACCTCCCCTGGAGCACCTTGAGGCCGTTTCCTCTTGTCCTATTGGTTGTTACTTGAGAGAAGAAACCGACCCCCACCTCACTACAACCTCGTTTCAGGTCTTCTACAAAGAGAGCAATAAGGTCTCCCCTCAGCCTCCTCTTCTCCAGACTAAACAACCCCAGCTCCCTCAGCCGCTCCTCATCAGACTTGTGCTCTAGACCCCTCACCAGCTTTGTTGCCCTTTGGACACGCTCCAGCACCTCCATGTCCTTCTTGTAGCGAGGGGCCCAAAACCGAACACAGTATTGGAGGTGTGGCCTTGCTGGTGCCAAGTACAGGGGGGCGATCACGTCCCTAGTCCTACTGGCCACACTATTTCTGATACAAGCCAGGATGCTGTTGGCCTTCTTGGCCACCTGGGCACACTGCCAGCTCATATTCAGGCAGCTGTCGACCAACACCCCCAGGTCCTTTTCCGCTGGATGGAAGTAACTAGTGAACAGCAAGAAAAAAGACTCTCTGGATCTCTGAATGGCAGAAAAATGCAAAACGGCTCCAAGCAAACTAAGTGTAAGTGAAATTTTATTTTGTTACCATGTCACTCATTTAGAGTTTTCTTAGGGTAATTTACAAGCTAGGGGAACACCCCTCTTATCTCCACATAAACTGTACAGGCGTGCTTCCTATGTCTTCCTTCATAGAAGGAATTCATTAGGAAAAAAAAAAAAAACAAACACCAAAAAACCCCTCCAAAACTTGTTTCATGGAACAACTCTGCTTCCTTGCCTGTACGTTCCACTGCAGTAGGCAGAAAGAGTCCCTCAAGCAAGGTTTCATATTCTTTAAACCAATACATGTGGCCCTAAGTTTGAGAACTGAAATATAAAGTTTTAGATTTTTATCAGCTGTGGTGCAGTGAACGAAGAATTGACATCTCCCTGGGAGCACACAGAAGGCCTTTAATTTGACGCTTGCAGTTATACTGACAAAGTGCTGCTTTCATGGCACTAAATACTTGATTGATTCAATTAATGTGCGTCATGTTGGATTATAGCTATTTGATGTTTCGGATGTTTTATATATTTAGATCTTTATAAGAAAATAAAATATTTACTTTAAAAATTGTATTAGGCTAAAGAATGGCTAGTGATTAAAAAATAAGTCTCCTGAAACCATATGGCCACAGGAGTCCCATAGCCTTGGTACTTGCATCTGGTTATAAACATACAAGTAACTTTTTTTTTGTTTTTAAATATGTATGATTTTAACTATGCTGCATGTTCTTTTCTTACTGCAGCTGGCATGCCAAGGCAGGGACTCTCTCAGGTGCCCCCAGATAGTGCCACCATCCCCCAAGCTGGCCAACACTCCTGACCTGAAGCTACTAAGAAGAACCAGGTGAGCTGAAATATTTTGAAATGCATCATTTCTCTCCTCACCCTGAACACTTAACACAGCTGTTCAAGGCACAGCAGCAACATTACAGGCAACGATGGGGGTGCATGTGGGGGGGATGTGCTATCTTCTCAGCACAGCCCCATCCTGCCAGACTGCGTAGTAAGTCCTGCACAGCTTAGTGGCCAAGTAGTGCACTTCATCTGCTGGATAACTTCAAGTGAGCCGGGCAGAAAACAGCCGTTTTACATTTTTGGAACATTTCACTCACCGTTTTTCCTCCCCCTCCAAGCAGTTAACTTCTGAGACTGCAAAGACCAGTGTCATTACTGCTACGTGGAACTTCGAGCAACTACAAGCTATCAGAGTGACTTAAAGGAGTTTCAATCTTCTAAATGGCAATGCTTTTAAAAGCTTTAATTTTAAAATCACTGCACTTCAGTTCTACCCACAGAGTTGATTTATGTGTATTTAGTTTTAGTCTTCTTTAATCTGGGAAAAAGCATGTAGCAACAGCAGCAATCTCTCATTTTACAGACATACAGTTTGCCTACCCCTCTCCTCTCAAAGAAATCAAATCAAAAGACCTTAATACCAGAACTGGCTGATTTAGATATTATGGCTGCAGATGGGCACAAAAACATGAAATAGCTTTACTTTTACCATTCTTTGGTGTTTTGCTGTCCTTCAACAACAAAACGAAACAGGAATCTCCAAGACATTATAAGATGAATCACAGAAGATATTATGAATAACACAGAACTGTTTCAAAGCTCCTAAATTAGAAATTTACAGTTTACTTAACCTGTAAAAATAGACACAGTTCACAACAAAAAATTAGAAAAGGGCTGCAATTTTCCTCAGCTATGTGGGAAGATACTGTCCCACGATTCTCTTTCTTCGACTTCAGAAGCAATAGTAGAATCACAAGAAATGTTTCAGACAGAAGAAAAGCAATTTTAGTTATTAGCATTTCTCTCCTGTTAGAATTTCCTCTTTGGCCTTACCAGACCTCTAAGATAACAACGAGATTTCTACCTTTACCTTTGCCTAGCAATCTCCAAAGCTTATACTTCACACTGTTAAGTTAATATTAAATTGTAAGCATTTAATTCTTAAATAACATCTCCAAAACAACAGCTAAAAAAATGATGCAAGTATACCTCTAGTATATTTATTTGGCTGTTATAACTACTTGAATTTTACTGATACAATATTATATAGAAATTGCACTTATTTTTATCATATCACAAAACTGGTGGCTGTCAACTGCTTCAGAATAGGATGTGGCAGAGATCTGTACCTTGGAGATGTCATGCATATGAAACAGAGTATCTGAAAGGTATCTTCCTACTGAAGGTCACCTGTTTTAATCCACAAGTTAGTTGTGGTGGGGCTTTTTTCACTCTTTTCTTTCAGGTAAAAAGATATTTCTTCATGCTTCACTGTAAAATTGTTTTTTAAAAATACCTAAATAGAAAAATATATTAAGATAAAAATATCTAAAACCAACCCAATTGATGGATGAAGAAGCCCTTGGAGTTCCACACTAGACTCAATATTTGGCTAACCTGCAGCCTCAAGCTGGCCATTCCTACCCCCTCTCCCTTGCGCTAATCAACCAGTGGCAAGAAAATTAAAATTTTAAAATAACTTTTTTTGTGGGGAGGGGGTGGGCAGGACACTAGAACAGTTCCCTATATCAGCAGATCTTATTGAGGCAAAGGTATTAATTTCCATTTGGTTCGTCAGCCTAGAATCACTGCAAACCCTTACAAGAGGTAAATGTCAGCTATCAAGAAAGAAAATACATCAGACATCTCTGCAGTTTAGTCACCTGGCAGACATCAGAGCGTATCCCTGTTTTCCAGAATCCCTGGCTACTCAACTCAACGGTCACTTCACGTCTCATCGTGTTCTTCTGACGAATTTTCTGCAGTGCTTCCTAGACAGGGAGAGAACGGAGCTCCTGTGAATAACTTTCTACAACAAAGCAGTATCAATGCACACGTGAGTGTGCTCACAATACTCGTTTTAAGGTTCACTTTTGGTGAGCAGTTTCTAAGACTAGTGCAAATCTTGTAACTGCCAAGCCACAGACTGTGGTGGATGTGGAGGAGTACAGTGTAGACAGAGGATTTTGGTAGACCGAGAAGAGAACAGAGGTGACTACATTTTTTACTTCAAGTGATGGAACAAACCAGTCCAACTCATACATCCAAGATGATATGTAAGTAAGCAAGTTAAGGTCCTTATAATGAAAGCACCTTCTTTACCCCTGTGTGCAAAACAACTTCTTCATTCAAGTCCATCACCATGAGTACTCCTGGTTTGAAGCATTCAGCCAGAGTAAAACAGACTAAGCAGAAGAAAGGTTTTGTTTTGTGATCTCGGCTACTTCATAATAGTTCCTGTTCAACATTGTCAGTACTCCCAGTCTGGGAAAGGGGTCAGCATTCACTAGTCCTGGAGCCTATTATGATGAAATCTAACAACATTATTTCAATTAAAAAATACAAATAAAAAAAAAATCTGTTTTGCCTTGACCACTGGCTGTTTGGTCTTGTCCAAACAGTTTACTTGTCTCTAGAAACTGTGAACATTAAAAGATTCTGACAGAATCATTAAAAGAAAATATTTCTGTAAAAATGGAATGAAAGAAAATCAGCTAAAATAAAACACCCCTGGATCAGGATCTCCTGGTTCCAATACTACAAAGCCCCCAGCGTATGCAAGCTGCCCACACAGCATGCACTAATGGTAAGGACTTCCTCGGTGCTCTTCCTTCTTCAGAACATAAAACCTTTCAAAACTGCAACCCATCCTCCCTCTCCTCCTCTTTTTCGTTACAGGGCACTTGCTCAAAGTCATCTCTTCCCAGCTTCCAGTCTGAAGCCTGTGAGCATCTCTGGGCAGGAACGGGCTCTGTCTTCTGTTCTGCAGAGACGCACAGAGTGGTTCTAAGAGGCGCATCTATCCAGATGCAGATTCATCAAATCAATACTGAGGCATCTAGGGTAGGAGGCTACTTAGCCCTGGCTCCTTTTATATTCAATGAAGGGGGATAAATGGCTTCAAAAAATGCATTTTTCTGTCCATTGACTTCAAAGTGAGCCTTCAGGTCCCAATTTATGCACCTGCTGTAAATGCTCAAAGTTAGGTTAGAGGAATAAAGCCCCCAGGCATGACCTTGCCACAGATAACAACATCATACAATCTTGTAGTAGCGAATGACCGATGGCAGAGGGAACAGAGATGCTTACAGCACTGCACCCCTTGTGCATTGTCTAAAATTTGCATTTCAAGGCTGTGCATTGGGTGTTTTCTGAGACGGGTGCTACAGTGTTTGCTAGACCTAGCTGTAATTTCAGGCTGACTGGCTCAGGAGCACTCCAGTGTTACTCATAATATATGATTCATAATCTTTAAAAGCCCATGTACCAGTCAGGTGCAGCCCTACAGCTCTTTCTAAGTTACTGACACATCCATTGGCAAAACGCATAGGTTATCCTCACATAAAGCTTCTGCTCCAGCCCCGTATGCCTCTCAGATGGCAGACAAATACTTGATAAACCCATTATACTAGATAATACGGTCTAGTAACAAAAATCAGCACACCACACAGTAAGCGATAAATACCAAAGGAGCATTTTATCTTTTGAAGCAAAACATAATCACCCCCCTATATCCAATCCACTACAATTTTACAAATAAGTTATCCATTAGCCCCTAATGAAAGGATGTCCATAAAACAATTGTCTTCCCTTCTACTTGCTCTGACTGTAGAAAGCGTAAGCAAACAAAATCATCTCCTACAGGGAAAAAATTATTTTTTCCTCCTAACTGTGGCACAGTTAAGTCACAACATTGTGTTTTTTCCCATTCACAAGTAAGGAAGCCAAGGGCTTATTTAATATCAGCATATATAAAATGTTAACTAAGACCCTTGTTCATGCAACAGCATACTATGCTTTCCAGTAATAATAAAAATCAGGTGCAATGTCAACTGTATCAAACATTTACTGCAACCAACACTACACAGCTAGTACACTGGGGAAGACTCAGGAATTGGACTCAATGATCCTCGTGGGTACTTTCCAACTCAGGATAGTGTATGATTCTATGAATCATCAGGGTTTCTAGTCAATAAATAAAAAATACACCACCACTTAATTAAATTCCATCCGGTACCAAAGAAGTTAATTTCTCCTCCATATATTCTTTACGTAAGTTGTCCAATTAAGAGTGCCTGATAGACATGCACCAGGAAAATTCAAAGCTTCAGTCCAAGATCTTAAAAAAATAAATACCTGAGAGCAGGCTGCTTTAGTCTATATTTAGGTGACTTTATTTTTCTGATTTTAATTTCCAATTGGTTGAGTATCTGCATTTAGAAAATGCTTATTGCTCATCACTTCAGGGAAAAAAAAGAGAGAAAAGACAAAAATTCAACAAGTACCTCATTTGTCATTAAAGATTACTGAAAATAACAACAACCAGATGATTTAGACTCAGAGATCTTAAGGAATGTCACTAAGACTGCCTAATAAATTACAGTTTAAAACCATGCACAAGTGTGGCACTTTTTATCTCAGAAGAAAAATGTTTAAAATTATGAGCCAGTTAAAAGTGCACTCTGAAATAAAAAGTCCTCCTCTATGCTAATTCTTGAAACCATTAATGGCAACAGCTATAAAGAAGTTATGGTTCTATAATGATCATTTTTATAATTGGGTAAAAAACTTGCAGTAGTCTGACAGCTGAAAAAAGGAAAAAAAAATTCCATTCACTAACAACCAAAGATAAAAATAAAATCACTGTTAACAGCCTGAAAAGAAAATCTTTTGTAAAGAATTTCTATTGTTTCCATAAACAGCGTAGTCATATGGCTTTATTCCATCCTGAATTACTGTCCTTAAGTATCAGTTATAGGAAGGCTCAGCATACCTCTCTTTGTGACAACTTCTGCTTATCAGCCTGTTTGACTTTGGGACTATTAGCCAGCAGATGACGCAGCTTCACATAACTCTTCCAGAGCTTTTGGTATCTGAAGGACAAAACCAGAAAACAAATATTTTGGTCGATACAACAGAAGTTTCTCATCATTCGTCCTTAGGAACACACTAGCTGCTAATAATGCACACATATACATGCAGATTGCTTACAAGCATCTTCTTGCTCCAGAAAAAAAATCTCAAAGCATTTTCTAAGAGAGCTGACAGTGTCTCTGCAGTTGTTCCAGTAGGGTGGACAGAGCAGCAGAGAGGAGGCATTAGTGTGCAGTGTGAGGTGAACAGCAAAGCTCAGGGCAGAACCCAGGTCTCCCAGATACCCACCCATCCCCTCCAAAGGGCCACCTCCGCAAGCTGAAAAGACTTGCCCGTGGCATGTCATCTCAATTCAGGCAGGTGAAAACTCCCTCTTCTCCACAGGGTTTACCTATCACTCACTGAAAAGCAGTAGTGACCTTTCCCAAGAAGTGTCTGTCCTTACACTGGCTGAAACATTTCAGTGAAGCACATGAGGAAAAGCTCTACAAGTCATGTGCAACATGAAGTCATTCTGTGAACAGTGACATAAAAGTTTCATTCCCTATGGGTTTGTGCTGAATGGAAACAGCAAGTCAAGTTTTCTCTGTGGTTAGCATATACTTAAGGTTTCTGGTTTTCTCCAACCGCCTAGCCCTTTCATATTTGGGGGCTAATAAACTTCAATAACAGAACTTTTTCCTCAGTGGGAGTCTCTCTGCAATCTAGCACGTATTTTCACAAAACCTGTAGAACTTACGCCATTTGTAGACAACACCCCACCATTATATTCAGCTGCAATTGACCAACAGGTTCAAAAGTTACTATGGGAGAAGCAACCAAGTGAATCATTACATGGACCTTGTGTCCTTAGGAAATAATGCTATCTTCAAAATCGTATCACCTCTGTAGAGTTTTTTTAAGAAAACCCATAAAACTAGACTTTTAATATGAAGCAGCGAATTGGAGGACAGAGAGGGAAGTTTACCCAAGTAATTTATCTTCTTTTATATTTACATTACAAAAGAAGATCCTCCTCAGCACCAGCTCAGAGCAGTGGTTTTAGTAGGAAGTTACCACACTAGTGGCAAAGCAGTAGCTCTTTTACTATTTCATGATCTTCCCGGCATCCCACATTCACAGGCACACAAACAGATCTTTTCTTATTGCCATTTTCTCCATAGCTATTTCTCTGCAGCATTCTTGAATGCATACTCTCTCCCTCTAGAGATGCTGATATTTTTTTGAGTCTATAAACACATCTGAAATGGTCAATCCATAGATTTTTCTTATGCTCTGTTCTCCACATTTCTGCACTCTGCAGAACAGCCCATCTGTTTCTGACAAATCCCCTTCTGAAGAAGAAAAATGGGTTAATGAACAAATCAACAAACCAGAAAACAAACAAATGCCACGAGGAGGTTTCAACCCAAAAACAAGAACCTGAAACAATGCATGTTTTACTACTACCATTAATATGGGTGGAACAAGCTCTGTTATTGCAGTTAAGTTTGAGAATTAATGAACAGATTACAATAACAAAAACTCTGTATTAGAACCTCATATAGAAAAGACACACTAGAGGAAAGTCTTTTCTGGGCATTATCTATTTCACACATTCACCAAAGTTAAGCCTGAGATTTATGATGGCACCACAGAGGTCTTTCACAAAAACTGCTTTGCTACTTTGACAAAAAGAAGCATGCCTAAATTCTGTAAGCAGCTCTGGGGAAAAAAAAAAGCCATTGAAACGTTGAAGAAAATTAAAACAAAAAAGTGTGGGAAGAATAATTTTTGTATCTTTATACTGCTTTCAATGCAAGGTACTAGAACTTTACAAATATTAAGAAATTCAGCATCAAAATAGACGTGGTTCTTATATTCTTTGGTCTAATTATTCTCTTTTTATGGATAAGAACACTAAAAGATGATGAGGAATAAAAGTCATGCTCAAAGCCAAAAGAAAATATGTTATTATCTGGATAAGCACTCACTCTTCCCACTTCCCACCATATTAAATCTAAAATTCTCAGCAAGGAGTTGTAGAAGAGTATGTCTGTCATACATGCACATATGAATGATTGGGCCTCAAAACTGCAAGTGAAATTCAATGTCCTTAAAAGACACTAGAGGAAAATGCATGAGGAAAAAGACAACCTTAACTATACATGCACAAGAGATGGACTCTATACTGTCTGTCATCGATCAGAAAACAGATCTCCAAATCATTGAAAAAGTTCCCTGAAATTGTCAGAAATTAAGAAAAGAATTGTGAACAAAATCCAGCAATCACTTTTATGCCACTACAGGAATCCACAGTGAAACAGTATTTCTTGCTCTGCCTGAAGTTCTGATTCCCTCTCCACTCCTTCACGACATTCCTCCCCATCTCTAGAAGGATATAAAAGGTACAGAGAAAAGTGGCATGAATGCAACTGCTTCCAAGCTAGGAAACAGTACGTAGACTTGATCCTTCAAGGCACAGAAAGAGACAACTAAATAGGATATGGCAGGGTGCAAGAAACATAAATGGCATGAAGAAAGCAAACAGAAAATGGCCACATTCTTCATTATTGGATATAAGACCTGAAGACCACTTAATTAAATGATCAAGTAGCAGCTCTGAAACAAAAGTCAGTCCTTTTTCATATGATGCACAATAGTACTGGGGAAGCGATTACCTCGAATCTTCTACCTGTCAGTAGCATAAAAAGATTCAAACAGTGATTTGAGAAATTTAGAGATGGAAGGTCCATTCAGGGCTGTTACACAAAATGATCTAAATACATCCTCTAGCTCAGAAGTTCATATGCTACAGACCTTTGGAAGCCTGGGTAAGTATTTTTTTCCCCTCTGTCTTCCTGTTACGCTATTCTCTCTCTAAAAACCCACAACTGGCCTCTCAGAGAAGTAACGCGGAGCTTGAGGAACCTTTGGTCTGACCTAGAAGACCTGTTCTCAGTTTGAGAAATTTCATACCGTGCATGCCTGCACATTTACTTCAGCAGATCCTGAATTATGCCAAAAAAAAAGAAGTTATACCTTATATTCTCTAATTTACAAGAGCTAGTGTCCAATGCCATAAGCACTAAGCTTTATATTGGACTCAATTAAGCACATAAACAAGCCTTATTTAAGCCACAAATGACAACAGTAGTGAGTTTCTGAACAAAAGATGGAAGGAAAAGCATCTTACTGAGGATCTCCGGCATAACTGAGTTGAGCAGGTCGTATCCCGAAGTGGACAATAATGGGGAAAGTAATTACATCAGGATTGAACTGTTCGCGGTCCAGTTGATCAATACGAACTGAGCTGGGTTTCTAGAAGAAAAAACAAAATATACCTAATGAACAACAGCTCCATGGAATATTTATTGCCTCTAGCCCACACTATCCAGGAACCACAAAGCAGCAATATTCCAAGCTTATTAAAATACACATAAAAATAATCATTAATATTATAATAAATATTTGGCAATGACAATGACTGAAACAAAGTTAATTGACTTAGTTCTCCCAGAGGAAAAAAAAAAAAAGACGTTTTTTATTTTCATTTTACAAGTCAGGAAATTTCCTGTTTGATTGTTTCCGAGAACTTAAAGCAACTTTCTTTGGTTGAACACCACACTGGAAATAAAATCAGGATTAGCATTCTGGCATCCAAGCTCCCACATGCCTGAGCAGTTCACTAAGATCAGGTTACCTCTCTAATTTTAGTTCTGTTCCTGATTTCCCAAAGCAAGTGAAGCCATTATTAGATCCATTCAATCACACTGACTAAACAGCATTAAAAAAAATCTGCCATGCGACTCTTAGAAAAGGCTCCTAGGCTGATGTGCACAATGAGGAATAGTCTTGTATAATGAGGAGACTTTTGTCCTTTTTACACTTCAAAACAGAAGTTCTTTTTACAGTTAAAAAGGACAGTGTAGAAGGAGGCAACTTTCACTTCACCTCTAAAAACGCAGAAAATGAGTAATTGCACATCACTGTAGAAGACGTGCTGCTTACAGAGCTCTCGATCACTTATCTAACATATTTAAAAACTCAGTTGAAGGTGCAGAGTTTGTCTCCAAGTAAACATTTTCTCCATTACTTGGCAAGCTGCTTTGTTATGTGCCTGCTTACTCCCTACTTTGCAATCAGCTGGATGAGGCTAATATTTTCTGCTTGTCTAAGGTTTCAGAAAAAGGGCATTACTTCTAGTTACCTGCATCTCAAAACTTCTAATTTAGCATTGTGAATTTCTCAAAGATGAGTTTCAGAGTTACAGAAACAGCTCCCACCATTCTCTTCACAAAACAATAAAAACTGTGTCAAGAACAAAGCTTTTACCCTTCAAACCACCTTGGTAGAACTGTTCAAAGGAATAATTTTCTGCATGGATAAGCAAAGCCAATTCTAGAAATAAAGGTAAGCCTCATCAGGTGGCCACATTTCCAATCTATTCTAGAAAAGCAAAAACTTACTTAAAAACTTTGACATTCAGATAGAGAAACATTTTCCAAGGGAAAAATGCTTATCAGCTTCCCTTTGGATATGATGACTGAACATAAAGCTACATCTCCCCAGCCAAAAAAAGACAAAAATAAATAATTTTAAGCTGGTTAGCTCATGCTGCCAGGTTTAAAAAAAGGAAAAAAAAAAAAAAAAAAAAAAAAAAAAAAAGAAAAAGGTTTTTCCCCAGGGGTCTTCCAATAAAAAGGGATTAGGAAAACAA